ATGATTTTAAATGTTTTATGTAAGGAGCCCATAACAATCGTCTGTTGAAAATTACTCCAAGCATTTTTACGGCGTTTTTGTTTACGACTTCAATACTATCGATGATTATTTTCAGAGTAACAACATTCCTTTTTTTGTGAACAAGGCGCAGCTGTATTTTTCTGGAGAGAAACGAAACCCGGTATTTTTTGCTCAGTTCTCTAAATTAGTTGCTACTGATTGTAGCATGCTTTGTATTGTGTTTATACAATTACTCCTGCACCAGAAGTTGAAATCTAATTTCAATCTCTTAAGTTCAGAAAATTGCATTTTCCTACAATTTTATTAAGTTTTTCTAGAATGTTATGTCTCCAGGTTGAGTCGTAAGCTTTAGCGATATCAAGATTTATTATGCCCACCATTTGATTTGATTGATGTTAAATGTTTGAGTGATTTGAGTTGATTGTATATTTCATTCTTATTGGAAATTCATGATTGATAAAATTGCCGAAGCAATTTATCGGAGGCTAATAAATACATGACACACATGTGTCTTGGACGGAGGTCGAACACGTACTGATTTATTTATTTGTTTTGAAAAATAACGAAATATTTTAGTCAGCTTTCTTATACCTTATTCAAACTAATTTCTAGTTTATTGCTATATATATTAACTACTGAAATATAGAATCTGCAGCAGACTTGTGGTATTTTCCAAAAATAAGTGACATATTTTMCAAAAACAAAATGACTTGCTCTGTTTAAAAAAAAAAGAAATAAGACAAGGTTCCACTATTATATTATATTATATTAGGCATAGTGTATATTGTATAATTATAATTATATTGTTATCTATTTACACGTTGAGCGTTTATTAATATTTTGTAAACATATTAAATACCTTAATAGTTTAATATAATATAATATAATGTATACCTATTGTTAATATATTTTGTTTTGTGATATTGTAGAAGCTGACTAGAAATTAAATAAATTGTGGAGCATCTAAGTAATGACCGAGACGAGGTGGTTCATCGGTACATTTCTGACGGACGGTTCGAAAAAAACTATTTTTATGTATCCAGCCAGATCTTCAGTGATGGAAAGTATACATGCCAATATTTCATAGTATCTGGTCGGTGACTTGAACGCAGCGTGTTTCATCAGAGCGTTTTTGGCGTTTGTTCCGATGATGGTCAAGTCGTTTYTGAACTCTGCTGCACCACATAGATCTCATAACAGAACACAAAATCTTACATATACAAATCTGAATTGCTGCAACAATATTATCGATTTTTTAAAAAGATAACATCACTTACCTGGCCGGCATAGGACAAGGGTAAGTACTAAATTGTATTCGACCGAATCGAGTCTCATAGCCCGGTGACTGGCGATTAACGTGGCGACTATATGTTCGATGCTTGAATTGGATCTATGTTAACCAAAGAAAAAATTCTTTTAATTATTGCAATGAAAATAACTATGTTATACGATATAACTAATACCTTTACAGTACGTAATATATATGGAGCTCACCCAGATAAAAGTGTTATGAGGTTCATCGGCCAAAACGCCGCCATTAGCACGAACGATTGATGCCACGTCCTATTGAGTATTTCATTTTGGACAGCGTTTGGTAATATAGCCATTGATTCGTTGAATCTACACTGCTTGAGACTCGTTAAAAATATTTGGGCGCCAATTTCGTATACGTATTCATCTAAACCACGAAACAGAACGAACGATATTGTAGGTACTCGGTACTCACAGCACGTGGACGTAACTTTTTTTTAATAGGTTTTTCACARTTAAGTGGATGACTAAAATATCGATTGTAATCATAGTATGTAAGGGATAACTATGCTTATAACCCGTTGGACTTAAGAGAAATTGGCAATAAACCARTGACGATTCTATACAGATTACATTTTATTTGAACTCGTTGATCATGGATTTAATGTAACAAATGGAATCATTAACTTATTATATATCTTACTTCTTGTCGTCCAGTTTTTTGGCACCACGGTGTTGATTTCAGTTATTTTAGGCAACTTGGACTTTCTCGGACCTCGTTCATCTTGAACGGCTAAGGAAAAAGAGAACTGAGATCGGACAGTTGAAAAATAACGAAGCCAATAAAAAAAAAACTAACAAACTGAAAAGTTTTACGTCAGTTGAATATATGTATAATGTATCGTTATTATATGTTAATATGATATAATGTATTATCATGTTTATACTTATAGAAATATTGTATAAACATAATATTTACCGGAAACGTTCATATTGACCTTCATACACTTTTGAAGTCTACAAAACGGGCACCAATTTCTTCTCGCCTTGTCCACAATACACTGACMCGTACCAGCTAAACGAATGTAACAACAGCTATTAATGTTATTAATAAAAATAATGTCTACTATACTTTACACTGTGTGCATATTATTAACAAAATATACGCTTTTAGATACTTAACGATCGACGTACCAATACATGTGTATACGATCCTCCGCCTGACACTCCGCTTGAAGAAACAAGAGCAACCATCGCAGCAGTAAACACCGTAGTGTTTTCCAAACGATTTATCACCACACACTCGGCAGTATACCGGGATCGGTARTGTTCGTCCTGCGATCGTTTGAAATAAGAAAAAATTAAAATTAAAAATAAATAATAAAATTTCAGTTATGAGGTGTGACAGAGTGTATAATATTATAGCCTTATTTGGAAATAATTGTAATTAAATAATAATGTAAAAAAAAACATTTAAATGTGTCTACGTCTTAAACGAATGTGTACGCTGGGAATTAATGGGGTGATGCTGCAAAAATTTCAAACACTAACCGTATTCAACGCTTTCAATCCAAAACCTTTCGAGCTACAACTAAAGCACCTTTTTACGTCTCCAACCAAACCCTACATAACGATCTTGCCAACTCACCCGTCTGTGATGTAGCTAAAACTTTTTATAGACGATTCAACTTATGTGCCAACCACGCTAATCCTTTGAACAAAGTACTTGCGTCAGCGAGCATACTCGACAATCCTATAGGAAAAGACTAAAAAGGCGGTGGYTTCGGGACCTATTAGTTAATAATTTCATTGTATTTATAATTTTATTGTAAACTCATAAAAATTTATATCAATAACTGACAAAGTGTCTTCACTAGAAGGCTTCCTAAGTCTGTTCTTTCTTCAAGCCATTTTTTTAAAATTCATTTAATAGATAATATCTCTTTTACTTATCGTTAAATTTTATTATGTAACGGATTGTAAATATAAAAATAAAAAATATACCTACAATTATAATTGGCTGGTGTTTTAACCAATTATATTTAATATAGTATWAAGATGTTTACTGTTTAGTTACTATAACCATCGTTACAAACAGAGGGGAGCTTGGTATGACTTGGCCCCCAAATTATTGCTAATTACCCCAATTCAAAAGTCGGCACTTAGTACTAAAAATAAGTAATTTTTAGAAAATACCTTGTGAGGAGGGGCGTTTTAATTTCCTTAAAAAAATTCAAACTATATGCGCCTATGGGGACTATACATTATATTACCTACACTCAGTCCTGGGGGCTAGGAGAGAACACGCCGCGCCGCGGACGGACGAAAATTCTACGTTCGATGGTTTTTCTACACATCATCACGCGATGGAACCGGTCTCAATGGTAGGATGTCACGTAGTGATGTGCAGAATTTATGTATTCTCTCGCTGAACAGAGTATAGGGACAAATTCACAAATTAATTCAGCTAACAGAAATAATAAAAATCTTAACAATTATAATACTGCATAAAATCAAATAATAAATAAACAATATACATAATATGTAATGTCGGTACTCGTTTCATATGATAGTAATTTTAGTATTTATAATCAATGATTTTAGTGTAGTCTAATTAAATTGCATAAAAAAACTTAACAACGTTTAACTTAAATAAACTATTAATTAAATACAGGGTCCRTCAGAACAAACGCATGTTTTCCAAAATGATGCTACGCTCAAAGTAATTTCAGYAAAAAATTTTTTATTACATCAAAAAATGCATACGCATATGTTAGAGTCTTGAAAGAAATATACCATACATTAATTTAATATAACTAATAAGTAATAACCAAACTGATTACTGATGATAAGTCATAGATACCTATTGACAAACATGTACGCACGTCTATTTAATTGATTTCGCGGACACGTCAACTAATCCCAATATGTTAACACCGACGTAWAAACATTAAGGTTTTCAGTATACCTAATATGTATTATAAATATAATAAGATTATTTTATGAAACRCCTAACAAAAATGTGTTTCTTCGTTATTGTTTAACACGCATACGTTATTATACAAACACTGCATATATCATAATTATTATACAACGCTCTCGAGACAACGACATCCGCAGATAATTGATTTTCGTTATCTTTTCCCGAGCGTTTTCGTATTATTGTTATACCCATAACGCGTCATAAACATATACAAACCGTATAAGTCTCGTACGTCAATATTATACATAATAAATACGCATTATTGCACACGCAGCATTGTTGTTATAAGTACTTGTTATAAATAAATTAAAATGATCTATAATATGCGCAGTGCTGTATTTATTGTTGCCGTTAAAAACAACAAAAATGAATTATGTCCTCTGGCACACTCGGACATTCGTGACGGTTTTTACGCCACGGTGATGGGCTTTAAATAATAATCGCAATAATATAACATGTAGGTACAACCGATGTGAACAGAGTAATAAATTGACGGATATTAAGTACCTATATAGGTACTTGTATTATGCATGTTATACCATATTGTCCATATTGTCAGGTAACTACGGGCGAATGTACGTTTTTGTCATTTCTACTATAATATAATATCTGAAAACCTTTAAATTAAATACAACGATTTTCAACAACTAATAGGCATGTTAACGCGAAACCGTCATACACCGAGGATTGATCATTCGATCGTTTTAAAATATGACATAAATACACTTGGGGCGATAAATCGAATACTGTTATAATAGCCCTCCAGCCTCTCGCCACTCGGAAAATCTACCACGTACTTAAATAGTAGAGTATAATAATATAATATAATATATTGAATAATAATATATTTATATAATATAACCAAACACCGCAGAGCTCGACGGTATAAAAGCATAATATGATATTATTGTCCTACTATTCTATGATAGAGTATCCGAGTATTCAAACTTGCTAATATTCTTCCCCCTTCCCAATGAAAACCAGACATCTCTTTTAATCTTCGACGGCTGTACAATATGACTGTAACAAAAGAAAATTGCTTGATTTGTGAACTTAGTGACAAACAACTGACCATCAAATACATCGCAATAAATTACTAGAAGGCCCTAATTTCAACAGCTCCAGATAAATTCTCGGAAACCCATCGACGATGCAACAAGCATTTGTTGATAAAAACCAAAAACATCTAAAATGTTTTCTCAAACATAGCCTTAGCAAATTACTCTGACGTACGCAGAAAAAAGTTTTGGAGGGTGTTTTTATTTTGCTTCAGCTGGTTTTTTACAAACGCAATATAATATTTACTTGTCTATTTTAATTATAATATGACAATTACTGTAAAAAAAAAAAAATAACAATATATTTCACAAACTCTCTGAAATGTTCAACATAAGATATCTCACTATCCCCATAGTGTTAAAAACAGTCCGTAACGATTACGGACCAATGACCGCAGATATTATTGAAGCTCTGTTAATCCAATAAAATAAAATAAAAAAATTAATGTATAATATAAATATGTATTTTTAAATCCCGAAGAATAGTCGTTAAAAGAAGTACTGAGACGTTTAATGAGCGATATCGAAACGTATTATATAATATATATTTTTTTTTTTTTTTAAATAATTGGCTTTATTTGAAAAATTACAATCTATAGACTCTATACAGTATGTACAATAATTAATATTAATAATTTACAACAGTTGACAATGAATAGTCACATGAGGAGGAACRTATTATATTATTGTTATCTGTACTCACCCATGCGTTTAGTGTATATTTATGCATAAATTATACAAAACGAGCTTGATCCCTGTTCCACGTGTGTGTACAGTGGAATGACSTGTGATACTATGATGTGTATGCAGACACTACTGCAACTATTATTTATTGATGTTGTAGAATTTAAACAAATCTGTGCGTAATAAAATGATAATTAATTGATTGATTTTTCGGTGAAAAAAAATAATATTTTGTATGACTGCCGCTCCGTCTGCGGTCGTTCTGCAAGGGTTAGTGTCTGCAGCGGACTTGGTACCTACACGCGGACTGCGACTGAAGAGTTTTGCGTTATTGTACGTGTGTGCCAAAGGGGAAAACGAAAAACATCACTACGGGAAAACTTACTCACACGTCACGTCATGGTAAGGTAGTATTATATTATATTATTGTTATCGTGACATATATGCGAGGGTTGGCGGAAAGTAAAGAAAATCGCTGCTGTTATTCGAAATCGGTAATGGGCGGATAATTGTGCKAGTGTAAATAATAATAATAATAATATACATACTTACAATCGGCCGCAAACGGGTATAGACTGTTGGGTGGGTGGGCGACCCTACATGTTCTCGGTATTATTATTTATTCAAAAACCATTCAAAAGTCCCTTTGAGGACGTGCGCGCGCGCCCGCCATTACTAGTGCATGCACTTATATTCGTGCCACCGGCACTACCATTTTCGCGTTCGTATAGATATAATATAATAATAATTAATAATAATATTCTGCATTTTAGCAGCCGGGTGACGCCGGTTGACCATTGATCCCACGCCCGTGTCCATTAAAGTAATGTTTGCTTTTGCCACCTGTCAACCAGATATCATAAATCCCGACGTCTGAATGTATCCATTAAAAGGAAAAAAAAACTTGAAAACCTAAAGGTTCACGTCGTCGGTCATTATTTTATCATCATTATATTGTATTGTTGTTATTGATAATAAACGATTCATTTTTTATTTTTTTATTTCTCGTGTGGCAGTTATTTTTCTGCAGCAGTAGGTCGCACGTATACAATACGATTTGAGTTTAATTTCTAATTCTTTTAAAATTATCAATATTTATTTTTATTTTTGGAACAAACAAATAATTGCAGTTCACAATATCCAGGCAGTCGAGTCGTTCGCRATCTTGGTCTTTCGCAAACTTTAACATGTTCTTTAGTGTCGTAAGTCGTAACACATGACCGTTCGGACCCTCGCGATCATTATTTAGTTTTCGACAAATTGACCTAATAACTAGGTATATTAAATAATTTACCTATAAATGAAATTATTTATAATTAGTCAAAGTTTAACGGACTTGTATTAATAATAGGCATCGAGATTGCTCTCGACTGTCCTGCGTATTAGGTCCGTCCGTTGGTAGATTGCTGCAGTCTATCTCGGTTTTATTTAGCCACGGTAAACCGTAAACGCCTGGGCGCCTGGTAATACAACCATACCTTACAATTTTTTTGTTTAATAAAYAAATGTATTATGAAAATAATATTTATCGTATGAGTACAACTTTAGTTCTTAAATCCTCCCACCAAATGTTTATTCTGTGTAAGCATCTTGGTTCTTAAGTATATACCATTTATACTGTAACTCTTCCTAAGACCAAACTAGATTCCTAATCCGACTGAATCGGGACTGAACCACTGAACCGAAACATAACCTTTATGCTAGACGTGCAGGCAGCGTATAGCTAGTGATGATGACTTAGTCTTGACTCATACTATTAGTCTATTGATCTTAGGCAAGACTTGTTATTTTCACMAAATGTGTAAAAAAAAAATTAAACACCTGTTTGAGGTGCGTAGGTTTTTTGCTACGAACTCGATAAAATATGAAACTTAAGTCCGATATATATTATAATATACTATATACATGTATAGTATCTCGACTCTCTCTATCTCACTATCTCGAAACGAACTCTCAAGTATGATATAGTGTAAACTTTGATAAACCAAAAAATTTCATAATTTTATTGTAAATATATAATAATATGTACTGACGAGCCGGTAGTCAACAACAATCAAATTTAGTTATAGTGGGTAATCGGATTCCTTTTTTCTATCTAAGTGGCAAGTGCACGACAGTAAATCATTACGTTATAATTTATAATACAACCGACGACGGGGTGGTAGCGCAGTAATGTTGTAAAAATAACACTAATAACGACAAACTACGTCACAACAGAAAATATGGTACTGGTTTACGATGTAAAGAGTACGATAACGTAGCCGSWSCATACAYGYSRCAGACCAGTCGATTTTCGGTATGCGGAAYAGTAACGCGTGACTAACAGCCTACGAAGATCAGCGAAAAACGGTGAACATACTGTGCTCGCGATTATAATTTCTGAGACGGTGAGCAAGACGCGAGTTGAGGTGTGCGTGCCGTAAAGACGCACAACAAAAGAACGTTCAAAATCAAAATGTTTTCTCGTCCCAGGGCCCACGATAGATMTCTTGAAGTCCCGCACAAAATGATTAGTGATAGATTGCATACGTTCAAATGGTATTTGGTGATTGCGTGAACAGCGATCAAACATATATAATTGCTATGTTCCTGGCGAAGAAGGACAGCTTTCGGACAGTGCAACAGCAATGCTATATAATAATAAACATTAATCAATAATAATAATAATAATAATATTGTCATACAGCATACAAGTAAACAGAAATGTCAGAAATAATGGCTAATTCCTAAAGGCTCAAGATGCTTAGACGATGTTTTCCTGAGGCTGAATATTAATGTTGATTAACTCGGAGGTGACTGCACGACGGAAGTGGAATATCGATATCTATGTATACCTAACGACTGTGCGATGGCATGACACTCATCTGTTTATAAAATTTATGATTTTTGTACTAGCTACCTCACTGGGAATTGCTCTTGTTAAATATTATTTTATTACAAGCTGAAAAAAATGCATGTGTGAGCTTAACTTAACCAAACTAAGTCCCATAATTTTATCATTATATTATACAACGATAAATTCGTTGGTATGCTTACCAAAATTATGATAAATCGGTTATTAAATATTAATTTGGTTTATATAATATAATTCCTTTAATAAACTTATATAACTTAGACATAGTCGTGTAAAAATTAAAACCAACTTCACGTCTTGATAAATTAACTAATTTTTATATTTAGCACACCAAGTCAAGCCACATAGGTATAAGTTTTTAATTTTAATTGAGTTATATTGTTAACCAAATTATGATGTTATAGTTAGGTACAAGATATTTTATTTTATCTGATATACGATTACAAAAAATTTAATTTCAATTTATATTGCYCGTACTTATTTTATTCAGAAATATTGGGTGATTAAGAGGTATGGTGGAGGGAGGTAGTGTCGTCCAAAATTATTTCTCTCTAATCACATTTTTACTTATTAATAATAAGTTATTATATTCATAGAATATTTTTAAGTCAGCTTAAAATAAACAAATCATTAATCAACAATGAATTTATATACTATATTCAAATTAATATATAATTATATAATATAGGTAACTGTACCTATATTATATTGAAAACTGCAATATGACATTATACTATTAACAGGTACTAATCTCAGATGTATCTCTTTTTGTGCAAACTTGTTTAAAGTTTATTCGATGAAAGATACGTCTTTTCCAAAATATGTAAAATAAACATACCTATATTAAAACTTAAAAGTATATCTATCTTGCTTCGTACTAAACTTCTAAGTTATATATTTTTAACAACGGGTAATACTAATATGTTATTGTAAAATGTTCGGAGATTGATTTCAGAAAGCCCTCTAGTTGGTAATTATGCCAATGCTATTTGAACTTTTTAGAACCCACTCATTTACCAAMGTCATCATCGATTAAATTAATGATAAATCATAAATCTTTCAATTTTAACTTGTGCCTTGGTGGTTTACTTGGTTGGTTAGTGCAGCAAATAAACGTAAAATATTTTAATAAAAATGCATATCTRTACATATGKTGTTATACATCTGAAAACGGGGTTTTTTTTATTTATGTTTTTGATATAATAGTTTTATAATTGTTGTTAAATACAATAATGTTGTCACCGTGTTATTACTATTAGAGTAGAATACATAGAGACTGATAATAGATAATTATTAATTACTATATTATGTTTAGTTTGACATAATATTATAATATAATATACATAATGTTGGGGATAATATTTATTATTAACGATAGATACGCACCAACCGTCATGCTCGTAGTATTTGCTGTTATACAACAATAACATTATTACRATGTTAGCGATTTAATTGTATACAATCATTAAGTCGTAAGTATATATTACCATATTTATAAAATAGTTTTACATTTCATTAAGTATATAGTACACAATAAATATATAATTATACTTACACGTAATATAAATTAATAGTAAATCTACAAGTTAATGTTATATATATACATAATGAAAAATCAAAATTTGGCTTTTGAAGAGTCAGGACACGCCAAAAATAATTTACAACACTCAAAAAATATTGTTTAGATCCAAATAATAAAATATTATGTACAATTTTTAACAGATAAATATAATTTCGTGAATCGTGAGTGATAAGCGTTCTGTAGCCAAAACCTTATAGCCACGAAAAATAAAAACGAATTTGTAAATCGATGAATTTTARTGCTTACAGYATATATATAAGACTAGACAAATTAAAAWCAGTTAGTCATTAAATAGTTCATTCTCCGTAAACATTTAAATTTTAAATGGATCATCCCAAAAAACTATAACGCGTGGATGTGTCTGCACTAAAATTTAAACAAAATCGAAATATACGACTAACGTGATAAGCAATTACTATAGTTTCAAATAAAGTTTTGGAAAGAGAGCGTGATACAATAATGTATTATATGTGTTCAAAAAATGGCTCGTTTACRATAAATTGACATTATCATCATATGATATTTTACTTTACTTAACAAATTTTTTGGTATACTGTTGGTATTTTAGTACTCAGTAGGTATACATACACAACTATGTATAATTATAATATATTAATTTTGTTAGTATTAGTTTGCATTTTAACAAGTCAAGAAATCGCAARAAATTGAACTTGGTTGACTATATATTACATATTATTATATTGTTAATATGATAATAATATGATATATGTGTATATATAGGACATACTATATTATAATTATGTACAAAATCCAATAACAGAGGCTGTTTCAAATTTCAATCTATATACAAGATGGATTCTAGGACGCCATCAGTTTATTGTTGACGTGTCCGTTCAACAGGTGTTGGTAGTTGTGTGCTGGCATCGGAGCCTGAGGAAGCGGAAAACTAAATCCACCCAGTTGGGGATGGTGATGGCCGCCCGTCGTRCCGGGAAAGAGRAAGTGTTCCGCGGCTACCGCTGCGGCAGCTGCAGCTGACGCTGGATCATAATTGTGTTCGTGTTTAATTTCCAYCGTTGCATGATGTTTGTTCACTAAAAACAAATAAAAAAAAATTCRCGTTAATTCATCTGTTATTAGATGATCACTTTACTGATATTTAACTTGTCCATGTGATAATAATTATAAGTTAGATAGGTATRTAAACTCTTTTTAGGATATGGTAGAGAACATATTAAGCTGCAAGGATGAAATGATAGCCGAGGCCGAAGRAAGAGCCAATTTATTGGCACCCGCGMCGATCGACTGAGCTCTCACATGTAGATGCACGCGACAGTGGACCGCGAAAAGACTGACGGACTATCCAAAATGATTCTTATTTATTTATTGTATTAATATTTTTATTTTGTAAGGTGAAGCAACTGTTATTGTATGTGTAATGTGTTAAGTAAGTGCCTGCAGTATATTAATGTATTGTAAATTGTAAACAGAGGAGTAGTATTGTTCACATAGAGCCACCTCTCGGTCGGTTTAAACGAAAAAAAAAAGACAGAAGGTATTTTAAACTCTAAGAGACACGCGTARTAGTACATATTATACAATATACATACCAGTTACGCACAAAAATAATATACTAAAAATGCACAAAGAAACTCTTTTCTTTAATTGATGACTGCATTTTTTAAATTTAAATTTTATTATGTAGATAATATTTTTATCATTAATTTATCTCTTTTTGTTTAATTTTGGTGATTCCATATAAATGTCTTCGATATTCCATACAAATACACGAGTCTTCTCAATGAGGCCCAATATTTCATATKTATATAAATATRAATTTAAAATAAAATAAATGTCATCATCGTAACTTCAATATTGTGTAAAAGTCATCATTTGTGGTGACGATGAGGAGTACCAAACTCTAAGCTTATTATGGGGAAAGCACAAAAATATTTACAAAATGTTATTATAATAGTCATTTAAATTTTTGTGATTTTTTCTTTTTGTTGAATAAAAAAAGGCATTAAAATACTATATACTGCTTATATTATTATATTATGCTCTGTAAAGAAAAAATCATAAATTATGGTGAATACAATTTTGGATTTCAATTATAATTTTCATTTGACCTAAGTATTTATTTAATTATCCTTATTAATAGGTATATGTGTAAAAAAAGATGCATATGCTAAAARTCTATAAGCCAGCAATTTTAACGTAAAACCGAAATTGTATATTATWCTTATTTAATTGTTTTTGACATTATTTTTAAACTTATCTTTGTTTGAAATATCATATAGTTTTATAATATGACACTTAAAGTATCATTATAGGTACTATGATTAATTACTGAAATTAATGAATAGTTGCAAGTTTGGTCTTTTTTACCGATAATAGACATTGTTAAAAGTGTTAAAACTGTAGATATGTTTATCTTATCTCAAGTTCACTTTGTACTATATGCTTTTATGTGAAACTGTATTAAATCCTAGCCAGGCTATACTACTWKACGGAGCACGGCTATAGTTTCAGCAATCTGACGTGAGTGCACATGCGCACAAGAATTTTTATTTTATTTGTATGTATAACTGCGATCTCTGTATCACGATACTACACCACCAGCCCGCGCATTGTCCGGATTCTCCGTCTATATACTATATAGTGTCCATACTCCATAGTCTATGCATTTAAGTAATAAAATGTTGTCTGGACGTAACCACGGCTGAAAATGATAAGTGAAATCTGCTTTTTAGAACCAACCAAGAGGAATTCGTCATTCGAGTGGTTCGTAATCAATACARCATAATATGGAATATAGATTTTAAAATCTACAAGAAATTTAAAGTTAAAGTTGTTGCGATAAATTCAATTATTATTAAAAGAATAATATTATGGATTTGCGACATGTATAATATTATGATTGAAATCAATAATCATAGGACTGAATTAGAAGTAATCCACGAGTAGGTAATCCACGCTTCTAATGGATCTGAATCTGATTTCAATAATTTCAACCTAAAACATATTTTATTTTAAAAAATAATATTATTTACCTCCGTGATTCGGACTCGGGGTGAACAAAATAATAAATATTTTTATTTTACAACTACCTACTATTTATAAAACCGTTTTCAAACGTATATAACAATTAATAATATAATATATGTTATAGTTTAGTACAATCGACTATAGAGTATTAACGCTGTTTATAGCTTAGGTATTATAGTTTTATCTCATTTCATTGTCATATTATATATACAACTTAAAGTTTTAATTATCTACAACCACTTATTTTTATCACCGTAAAACATTTTAATGACGAGATAGGTATCTCTTGATATATTTTGTAAACTATTATAATTTCCTTCGTAGGTTTATTAGCTTCAGGTCAATCGATCATTATTTTTTTTATCACCTGGTTATACGCCTCGAATCGGCTAATGACTATACTCTCCACTACCTACTATATTTTTAGCTACGAATCTCCTGATTTTTTTACCGTATATGTATAAGTTTTCTTTTTTTTAAATTTTAAATGTTCTTAAAAACTCTGTTATATCAGCCGAACGATGTTTACACCAACCTAATAGATCTATGGCCGCGGAAGTAGATTGTTTATGGTTCTCCAAATTTGACGAACCGTTTAAAGAAGAAGACGACGACGAAGGCTGCTTCTTAGGTTTCCTCTTTCTTGTCTGGATACCATCCTTCCTCATCGTCAGCGGCCTGTTGACGCCATGTAGTTTGTAGTACAGACCGCACGCGTTGCACACGGGCTCGCCGTCGTTATTTCTCCTCCACAAGGTGGTCATTCGGGTACCGCAATTCGTACATGACAGACCGAGGCGCCTGTTGGATGCCTACGGAGAAAATCAATTTAAATATAGGTACTATACGATAATTGACAATTTAATACAACGATTAAAATGAACGTAAAAAGTGAACTATCTTTTTTTCGAGTTTATTAACCACTATACATGCTCACATGTAAATTGTTTCCACAAAGCTTGC